TAAAGAGTGTGTATATGTTGCCACCGTGGCTACGAAACAAAATGTAGTTCCGTGAGTAGGTATTTCGGAAAAAGAATACAAAAAAGAATACATTTGGTTAAAAAACTCTATTTTTCTTTACCTATTATTTGATGAACTACCCTTTAAGAGAAATTATTATCGATCTATGGTATCTTATGATTCACGGTTTTATTTGAGATTGTTTTTTATTTTAAATTAACGTATAAAATTAAGTCAGTTGAAAGTTAAAATATTTACTTTTACAATCATAAATGTAACGTTAGTGAAGCTGCATCTTCACAATTACATTTCACAAAAATAGTACGGGTTTCATCAATTACATATAAATTTTCGCTATTGATTTTTCATTTATCTTTGAAGAGCTTTATTATATAAATTTTGTATAAGATATTGGAATATCATTGGTAGGATCGCGCGCTGTTAGACTTTTCAAATACTTGCGGCACGAATATGCAGTTGCGTACATACCGGATCTTAATTACGGATTTTGGGGCATGCCGCGCATATTGCGGACGCCAATGTGGAGATGAACCGTGCGCGCAGCAAAATTACCCAAAACATTCGGAATAACTGCGGTTCTGCGGAAGTCAATCACTTCCGCTGGCGGAAGTAACGATCGGTAATTCGTCCACGGGTCTGCTCGCCTGAATACCCTCGCACGCCAAAAAAGATTGAACGTTCCATTTCAATCGCTTCCGAAAAAGAAAGCAAAAGATTCGTATGGAATAAGAAGATAAAATATAATACCACGAAATAAAATAATCTGTATCGATTTTAAACGCGAAATTCGATGCATTATTTATCAACATTGCATTATTGTGTCTTGAATCCTAATGGAAACACTGCTAAAATAAATTAGTAAAATTTTAAAATATTGCAAGATATACTTGGCCAGAGAAACCAGACCAATTGCGTTATTACATTTCTGTTTTATTAAGCTTACAAAATGTATTGTATTGCTTTGTTTGCCAGCTATTTACTTTGTCTCACTGAAGTATTATTTTTATAGCTCGCGATGTTTCCTTTCGCATTTACAATAACAATTTTAATGCGTATTTTATTGCTGAGATGTGACAACTGAAGCTGGGCAAATATGACTCGCGACAGGTGCTTTGCAAAAAGAAATTTAATTATTCCAAACAGACAGTAGTCCATTATAAATAGTCCTTCATAAAATGAAGTGTTTAGTAGATTATTTATTTAAGCTATACAGAAAAATCAATTTTTTCACGTAAGAGAACCGTTAGTCTGCAAAGCAGAATTCGATTGAGTCAAAAATAATATTTTTTATCAGTATCAAAATGTAGAATGTTATGAGAGAAATTCTGCATGATATTATCGTCTGATGATTACTCAACGTCACAAATTCCACAGAAATAATTTTGCAACCCAAATGTGCTTTGTAAAATATTTCCTATTTATAATAGAATTTATAACAGATGCTTGTATATGTATAAATTAAATTTTTCCATACAAATATGTAAAATCTATTTACATGACGGTGACATGTTCTGTGAAAAATAAGTACGTGAGCGATTTTCGTCTTGGAAAAAGTGTGTCAGGTATAAGAGGTAGAAATTTTCAAACGATAATACCGTTGCCGGTTATTTTTTAAAAAATGACGCTGTTTGACGAACCATTGCGATCTTAGGCGCACGTGCTTGTGCACGTAGTCGTCACGTTAACCCGTTGCTCTTCCACCGTATAAAGTACGGATGTCACGTTGTCTCCGGAGAAAACAGTTGCTCGTATCCCCGCGTTCTCCTTGCGGAATTACCACCTTGCAAAACACTCTCGTCGCCGTCGTCGACGACGATGGCGGCGTCGCGCCACAATTTATAGAGATTAGCCCGCGCGGAGCGAGAAGTTGCGAATCGTGCCGATCGAAACGGCTGCGCGAAACTTTTCCGTCGTATTGTTATCCCGGGAAGACGCGAAAAAGTCCGGCGCGGGAAACAGCGTTGCGAGACCGAAACGCCAGTGGATGCACGATAAGAATGTCTCCGGGGTGCGATGCAAGCCCATCCCGACGTCTTCGTTGCAAGAAAAGCTGAACAGATCGTGAAAATCGCGCGAACATTCTTCCACTTCGCATATTTTTATATTCGTATACGTCTTTTCTTGTGATGCTTGAAGACGTTTTGATGATTTTTTTTTGTCAGTACAGTCAATAAGTAAGAAAGCAATTGCAAACTAAAGAAAACTATGAAGTACAATGTAAACTTTTTTGATATAATTAATCTACAAGTAACGGCGAATATTACATTTTCATTTATTTCTTCTGGTTTTTGCATTTTTTTCATGATGCATCAGCAAACTTTTGGGGAATAAAAACTGCATTAAATATTTTGTATAGGTATAGCACGTATTCCAAGAACATTAGACACTAACAAGATGATAAAATGTGACCCAATTACATCCATGTACATAAAAAATTGCATTTACATGTACGCATTCACAGCTTTTAATTGTTTACAATTAAGAATGCGAGAGAGAGAGAGAGAGAGAGAGAGAGAGAGAGAGAGAGAGAGAGAGAAATTTGAATTATACTTTTACGATATAATCATCCATTTTCAAAACTTTCTGACGTTATACCACCACCGTCAATTATTTATCACTATTCAGACTACTTGTCAGCTATTCTGACTGACGTAGATAATTTAAAAAGTGGATCAAATTTGAAGACAATTTCATTATCTTCTTGGTTATTGAAAATTGATGTGTTATGAAGTTCTTCAATAGTTTGAAGAAATATGAAATATGAAATAATATTCTGTGATTTCTTTTCTTGAATCGGCTAATTGATGAAAAAACGAAAAGTTTCTCGCGTTGTGCTAAGATGACCGATAATTATCGACTTTGAAAGGTAAGCATCTTTAATAGTACTTACAAAATTAATAAGCCGCTCATAAAGTTCGAAATGACATCTTTGCGTTTATCCGCATAAAAGTACGTTGAAACTGTATGAGTCTAATACGCACAGATCTCGTTTCATAATTTAGTATTAACTAAAAACCCATACAAGAAATCCACAAATATTATTCGCACGATTTTAGTTTATTAATATTACATCGCGCAAATTAATTGTAGCAAGAGAAATTGTCGTCGCAAGATAAAACGACATTATATAACCGATTCGAAATATAGCAATACGTCTGCCTATTGTCGAGGATAACTAATTAACGAAGGATCGAATAAATCAATGCACTGCGTGCATCGATTTGCGCAACACGTGGTCTCTGTGTAGTTGATCATATTGCGTCAGGATGAGAACTAATTATCCTCTTCCATATCAACGATATGTAATCACGCTGTCCTCGCTGTTAATACGATATGGAGATACTAAAGGACTGGGATGACACTGAAATACTATTCTCACGCTCAGACAGAAAGATATTAATTATTTCAAACAAAATTCTACATAAAACATTATATTGCCTTGAAGAATGCTTCTATAATTAATATTCAGATGCATTGATATTCGTATTAACGCGTGACTCTACAGCTGAAATTTATTTGAATCGGACTGATTATTTCGGAATTTATTGTATTATTATTTATATGCCCATTATTACCTTTTAATTTAACATATTTATTTATTATATAGATATAAATATATTAATGTTTTATATTATTACTATTACTGTAATATATATAATGATAATAACATATTATGGAGCAAATAGTTTGGTTGGTAATAGATCGCCTATATATCAAACGGAAGATCTAGGTTTGATTCCCGATATTCTGTCATTTTGCATACAGTAGACAAATATTATTTCATTTATGTGGTAAGTTATCAAAACATGAAGTCCTGGTTGTGTGGAAATGTCAATATATTTTGTGTGGAAAGAAAAAATAATGATAAAAAGGCAATGTGTAATATGAAGCATGCTATTTTGATTTATATCATCTGATCACAAATTGCTGTTCTCAAACTTGACGTATGGGCTAGTGACGGAAATCTTTCGATTTTTATTGTGTGCGATGTTTCGCGAGTCACTTGAGCGTTCTTTGAGAGAGCAATAGTAGAAACCGAGACAACAGATCTGTAACGTCAATATATAGGATTTCGATGAGGTATTTCGTATCTATTCCACTTCTTCTAGAACCTACTGCCCGTTATCCGATGGCACTTCCCACGTTCGTACCATCCTCTCTTTTAGTTCGCTCTCCTTTAGTTTGCTCTCCTTTTTACTTATTTTATCAGGATACTGGATACGGTATTAAATTCTTAAACTTTAAAGGATGGACCGGCACGGATTTACTTCTACGATTCGCTGCTCTTAATCCCACGGCCGTCCGTTTTATTTTGAAGTTTATGACTGGCCCTCTTAATGCGACGAAACTCGTGAAACATTAACGTATTAAATATATAAAGAAAAATTCGATGCGAATTTCCGAACGAATCATCCTCGTCTCGATATAAGGTAAAGCTTGGTAGAGCGAAAAAAAACACGTGAATTATATTCACTCAAAATGCATAAAATTGATCTATGAATAAACTCAGGATCACCGGAATACGAAAAGGAATTCAATAAATTCGAATGTGTCTTCCGGTACGTTTTTAATAAATTCATGTTCATATTCCGAGCGGACGAACAAGATTAATTTGCTGACGTATCCAAAACGAGACGAAAATGATATAATTCAGGAAACATATGTGGCTGAACGAAACGAAACTATCTTACGCTGTCGTTCGTACCGCGAGCGTTTCGCGAATTCGCGTGAGCTGCTTGTTTTGTGTCAATCGAGTCGCCGAAAAAGGACCACATCTCGATCCACGCAAGCCTGTTTATCCACGTTACTTCGTTACGCGTACTCAACTGCAGAGCGGAACAATGTCGATTTTCATGAAAAACATCTCCCCGTGCCAACAAGCGCCACTTGTTTCGTTTCGTTGCGTCACGCACGAACGCTCGCGGCGTCCATTTTTTTGTGCAAAAAAAAACAATGCGAAGGGCGTGCACGGTACTCACGTCGTATCGTTCCTGGATGTGCGGTCCAGCTTGCGCGATGTACAGCGTGCTGGCGGTATCGAATACTAATTCCTGGGGGATCCTGGTAACCCTTTGCCGAGCCATTTCGTGGCAATTGAGGTAGAAGGTGATGTCGCTCGTGGAAACCTTAATGACGATCTTCGACCATTTCTTCGTAAGCTTTGGCACGGTAAATTTCGCCACCTCCTCCGAATGCGAATGCTCGTCGGAATTCGTGTAGACCAGCGAGATATTTTGGTTTGAGTCAGGTCCATCCTTCAAATATGATCGAGAAAATATTAAACTCATGGATCTATATTCTGGCACTTTGCATTTTAATCGTAATTGCTCAAATATAAACCCTTAGGTGAGTTTAACATAAAATTATAAAAAATTAATTATTGATAAAACTAAATATGTATTTTCCATATAATATTGTGCATAACATTAATAAAGGATGCAAAAAGTGAAATTACAATCTCGTGAAGCTAATTTTAAAAAAAATTATAAAAAGGAATCTTCAAAAATTGTTTATTTCAGCGTAACAATGTTCTCACAATTTTATGTATCGGGTAATAATAATATTTGAAAGTATTTTTAGATCTTTATCGAAATTTAGATACGTTTAAAATATTCCAGATTGTTTATTGTTCAAAACACGTACACGTGTAATAATATCGAGAAAATCGGAAAATAAGGAATAATGTTTGTTAAAAGTCATTATTAAATATTATGATACATTTATTTCTCTTCTTTTTATTTTTCGAACATTCTAAATTAATCAGTTTTACATAAAAGGAAAATGTTATTTTGGAAAGTAAAAATAAAAGGGAGGAAGAGAGAGAGGGTTATTACAGAAAAATGATAAATTTATATTGCCAACTTATTTCATTTGGATGATATTTATCTATTCATGGAACGTGCAGTGTCATAAGAATATCACGTAGCTACTTTGATAAAGCACGTTTAAAGAGCTAGTAATCACCCAGCTGTTAAAGCGGATTCCTTCATGATTTAATATGACGTCATATTTCACGCTCGTCCTCTCATTTCCGCAAGACATTTGCTCTTCAATCTTATACGCTATTATTTTCTCTGGCGTCACGCCTCGCTGATTTAGCAGATAACCCGCCCATAATCAATAATATCGTAACATTTTCGATAGAGATCTCGGAAACTCGCAAAATAATTTGTCGTTGCGTTTTTGCCATCTACCGCAGTTGCAGGCAAAGTTAGATATTCAAAGGACTGCTCTAAGATATATTACGCGTAGCTTACCGAAATTCTAATGCCCAATTGGACAACGGTTTCGAAGGGATTAAGAACGGCGAAGAGGTAATAACTCGTTTTAAAGGAGGTCGGCTTGAATGTGGCCACCAGGGTGAACTCGGCTGGCAACTTTTCCGGGAGGTACAGTCTGTAGGGTTGCTTCACTTCGGATCCGGGTTGAAAGCCAAACGCCGGGAATCCGTCCACGCCCTCGTAAAAATTATTATCGTCCGTCATCGACGATACTGCTGCCAACATCAAATCGTATTCTGAAAACATAAATGTCAATAGTTTCTATTAAATTGCGTTTAATCGTGGCCGAAATTTGCGCGGCCGTTAAATGCTGACAGTTAGAACAACTAATTAACCTAACGATATTAAATTATCATAATGATATTAAATTGAAATACTGCATAGATTGATAGGTAATCAAGGTTATTATTTGGCAGCAAATTTTGAATAAATTAATGCACGTAAATTAATGTTAGAATTATTGGCGTCATTTGGTCCGTGAAGTAAATCAATATATCGAAATGTATTTATTAAGAAAAAGATTTTTTTTAAGGCTAATATAGATGGTGCATTATAATAAAAAAAAAACAACTCTTCTGGATAAACATTTGTCTCTCTATATTTTTTAAATGATAGATTATAGGACTTTCTGGACGTCATATCATGAATCTTTTCATACGCTGAAAATCGTAAATAGATTCCAGTATAAGATTCTAAAGTAATTATTTATAAGAGATGTACCGAGAGATGTACAGTTAACTATTTCTGTTAAACAATTTTAATAAATATTTCAACTTGCGCAATTTAGAAAAGATATTATCTGTTACGTATTATACGGTTTAAAAAAACATACTTAATTGTGCATGCATTGTTTCTGACAGTATTTTAACGCGATCATGTAACAGGAGTCGAATGAAAATAAAGTTAATTTAAAAAAGTGTCGAAAACGGAATATTTTGCGAAAAAGAGATTTTACGCGAGCACCCGAGGAAAGTACGGTAGAATAATTTGGAGTGAATGTAGAAACTTTAATTAATTTTTCGCGCGTTAATTTGCGAGAGATTTATATTATATACATTTTGATATTCTGATAAGATTATTTCTCAGGTAGAAATTGTATAATACACCTCCAGTTTATCTAAGTTTATCGCAAAATCTTAACGCGTCGAGAAATTGTGTTATCGATCGAAAACACGTTAAAGAATAAAACTTGCAGTATATTAAGCTTTAACAATTCTTAGGCAAATATAAATAAATAAAATTGTCCAAAAATTGTCATGATTTATTATAAAAATGTTTCGTGTCAGGATTTACATATACTACACTTATTGTTCGTATGGGAGCTTTCATATTTTGCGTATAAAGAATATCGATAATCAATAAAAAGAAATATAGAAAAATTTCAACACTACGAATCGCGACATTGTATTCGGTGTAACCCGCGCACAGCGTGATTAAGATCATAATTCTTTAATATACGACAACACCATTTTGCACACCATACGTCATGCTCCGATCCGTGACACCCGATATACCGCGTGATATTCCGCAGCTGAAAGCTCGATAACCGATATTTATTGTCGGGGACACGAGTCGCCGCAGTAAATCGTATTAGAAATCCTTCCGGTAACCAGACGTCGACACGGTTGACTAAGTTATTAAAGTAAAAGACGCTTCTTGTTACACTAAATCAAAGCCGATACTATTAGCGTCGTAGGTAAACGGTTCATTAGTGTAAACTAAAATGGTGCACTTTCACTGTTTATGATAAACGTAAACCCGTTCAAAAGACTCACATTGTTAATTACAGAGAACAAACGTTTTTTTTTTCTATATTTTACACATCTGTAAAAATAATTTTATTCTTTCTTCAGAAAAGAAAATATCCAGACTGAATTGAGAACATATACTTTGAATTCTTTGAAATAGTATTCTGCTGAAACTAATAAAACACTGTCTACATGGCGATTGCTTCGTATTTTCTTTTCGCACACATTCTCCTATCACAAGCAGCTGCTCTAATAATAAAATTCGTGAGCAATCTAAAAATGTTCGATGAAAATACAGGTAATGGCATGTCGACAGTGTAAGTTAAATTATCGCCGTGCCCGAAAGTAATTTCCAGATTGCATTTGTGACCGCGCCATGTTCTCGCGTAACGTATTTTATCTCGAATATATTCCGCCACAAAAGCTTTGGTGAGTGCTCAACGAATTTTGGTTTTCGCATTCGGCTTGTTCTCTACGAACTGCATTTTTCGTGGCTTGCAATGAAGTAGTTTTTCATGTGCAAAAAGTAAATTAATTTGTTATTCGAGCAAATACCGACATAGAATTAAGCGTACGCATTCCCGAACGCATTCTTCGCATGCTCTGATTCGAGAATGTGAAAATTAATATTATACATATATTACTTGATTTTTCTACAACACGCGCGAGAGCATTTTTTAAATTTATTTACAACTTTCGCTCTAACATAATAAAATGTATTAACACTTATTGACAGTAAATTTTGCGTATAACTTTCACACATAAAATACGAGAGTATACAAGAACAGCATATCGCACTCTTCTGATTACCTTTGAACATTTATTTCTCGATTTTCTTATTTTTCGCGACAAAACTGAGTCAATTTCGAGATTGCTTTTAACCGTAGCTACAGAAAAAGATGTTGATATTTTAACATAATAAATGTTACGCAATGTTGCGTGCGCACGTAAAGTCTAAAGAAAGCCTTTGTTGTTTTTTATTTTCAAAATGGATATTCTTCGCAATATATACTTCGGATTTTCGAGGCAAATTTTTGACTACTTCTTTGAGACATTTGTAACAACAGTAGGGAAGATTTCAACGCTTGATAGATTGCAGCATGGAATTGAGACGCGTGGTGATTCAAACGCCGGCATAGAAACCGACCAGGCGACACCTCCTGCTCGGATATACCCTCCTGACGCGGATCTCTATTTTGCGCCGAAATTGCGATAGGCCCGAGTCATTTTAAAGTCCAAACTAGAAGCAGTATATGTGTAAATTGAAAAAAAGAGATGCGGACAGTAATTGAAGCGCGAGATTTAATGACCGCACCACATTTCGAGTATACACTTTCTTCACGCGTTTCGATTAATCGTCGACGTATCAACACGTGTACTCCCGCGGCAATCGGCTTATAATAAGATAATAAAATTTAACTTGTATTGAATTTGTATTAAATTCATTTCAACATTCATTAATAATTTTCTTATTAATTTTGAAAAAAATTAATTTTTGAACCTCGTAAACCTCGTAATGGTTTACACATCAAATTCATGGTACATAACAGATTTATTATTGAGTAGCTTTGGCTATTATCACGTTTCAGAAATTATAGATGAGATCTTGCGGCGCCATCTACGTTTTGTAATAACCGTAAATTAATAGCAGCTATAATTTTTTTCGTCGCGTGATAAATGCTCGACATTTCCACGTAAAATAATAAATTATCGTTTTTTTTTTGCAAACCATGAATAGTCATATCAACGGTATGGATCAAATTGGGCTTTATCGCTTATCGATTGCACGATTGCATTTCACTTCAATATAAATTAGAGCTTGTCATTTTGTCCCCATGATGAGAGTACTCTAAATACATTTTAGCGCGAACGTAGTTTTGAATTTTCTAGAAGCTTGACAATATGCATGAAGCGACACAGGATGAGGCTGCCATACTTTGTTCGACGGTAATTAGGTAATAAACTCGACGTTGCGGTTATTAGCGCTCGAAAAAATTATAATGAATTATTGTAATAACGGCGTCCATAATGCACGATTTCACGCGAGTACGCTTCGCCCGCTAATCCCCGTTTCCTTCATAGTCCGCGCAAATCCATTTGCATAAATCCGTATGCCAATTCGCCCTGTCAGCTCGTTACAACTTTCCCGGTAGTGCATACAAGAATCCATGAATCACGCAAATCGAACAAACGCTGAACATCTCAATGCGAGTCGATGCAAATGTCTTCTTTAAACTGTCGACGTGAGCGTGAAAACTGTTTTCTTGTCGATTTCCTTACACGCTGTGAAACACACTTTTTGTTGCAGTGCTCGTTATATAGATCATTATATAGGTTTATTATATGGTTCTTTTATCTCTTTATTTGATTTCGTGTTATTTTCCATGTACACTACATATTGTGTACAATATAAAACTGTCTAAGATATCATTGACGATATAGTTATTAATGTTATTATATTATGCATTTCCAATATAACGAAGAGCATACTTAATAAATGTTATTTTGTTTCCATTGGAGCTGCATATGGTCACGTATTATGAATTATGAGATAAAGTATTACTACACACACAGTCTACATTTTCATATTTGTGTATAGATATATATTAGTTTTTTATAGTCTTATATAGATGGTTGTAAAGACTCCTTAAACTTGTATAGATAGCATGTATTTTAATGAGTAGTTAAAAACTTCTCAGTGACGTAGAGTATCAGCGTCTTTCATTTGTTGCCTTTACGGTTTACTGATAAAAGTTATCATAAATACAATAAGAGCTTGCAGAATTATTACTTTCTTGAAATATTTTAGGTAAATTTACTAAAGGTAAACTATATAAAGGATCTGTATAATAATTTGCTAAGTTATTGTACAAATTGAAATAAAAATTTCAATATGTACAATAACTTTGCAAATTGTTATACTGCATACAATAAAAATAGAAAGATCCTTTAGTGTTTCAAAAATGTCAAAACAATTTTATGAATCATTTATTTATTATGTAATATGCTAAAAAATACGAACAAATATCATTTTGTAGCGGTTAAATAATTTGGAAACGAACCTATATAATCATTTTGATGGTGTAATAAAATTCTTTTCAGATCTGTATCAGCTAAGTTTTTAGATACTTTAGCAAAACCGTTCTTTCCGTGAGGGAATAGCACTTACACAGTCGTATTTACATAAAAATCGAGATATATAAGTAAGAACTACGTTTCTATAATAACTGGTTTCATTACATTTTCAAGTGGAATACACGTGTAGGCATCATTTTCTCTACTGAGTCAGGAAGTCCGATTGTCTCTGAGAAGAGAGAACAAAACGAGAACGAAATGAGAGAACAGCGTCTCCCAGGAGACATTGTTCTTGCGTTTCAACAAGTTTTCCGATCTTCCTCTGGAGACTGCGCTTTTCTTCGATCTGACGTGACGCTATGATTTTTGCGAACGGTTTATTGACGCGTAAAATGGCTCCTCATTACTGCGTC